TCTGTTTATTTTCCATAGCTAACATGTTTTACTCTCAGTCTATGAACTTTATTATTTCTTTAAGCTGACAACAGTCAACAGTCGCTGCCACCACCATGACACTGTCGTGAGAAGTTGTTCTCTGTAGACGAGGTTGGTGATGTCCCGACGCGGCCATGGGTAGGCAGGCCTTCAACACGTGGGAAACCCCGGCTGGACGTTGGTTACCTCCACTAGTACCGCTGGGAACTAACTTGTTTTTTTGTTGATGTTGTCACGTAAACTAGTACTGGTCAAAAAACTTGAATTTCATCTACAAACCTGAACAACTACCAAACCGTGGATGTTTCAGATGGACCTGAGCTTTTGAATTGTGAAAATCTGTTGAATTTGGGCAAGAAGCCGAACAAGAATGTGAAATTGAGTTGTTGTGCCCTTCCGAGGCACGGTGGAGTAGTTCGGAGAGGACCTGGATGTGGCCCTGATGTGTCTATGGAGCTGAGAGCTGCCAGGATGGATTCGCTTGGTCCTGATCTTTCCAACGAGCCCAGGACGATGAAAATCCATCAAGGTTGAGTAAAATCAGAATAAATTTCGTTCGGAGCTGTGAGTGCATACTCCACCAAGAGAGTCAGTGCGCTGGACGGCCAGTGGATTGGAGAAAAGGGGCTCAGCATGCAAAGGGTTAAGGATTTCCCAAAGGCTTTGGGCCTGTCGAGGGGATCTCCTGCAAGAAGAATGAAATGACAACTTTATGTAGAGGGGGCAGTTAATCGAGGATAGGCTAAGGAAATAGATCGAGGTTCCGGGGTACGATTTTCCGTGCCAAAATCCGTATGGGCGCTACGGATTTTTTCCAGGCGTGCTCCATACGATTTTTCGGCACGGAGAATCCGTGTGGACTGGCTTTCATACGAACCATGTTTCGTATGGAGATTTTGCGTCATCGGGTGCAAAAAGATTTTTCGCGTACAAATTTGGTACGAGAAACATCGATTTTTCGCGGGAAGTTTTGATTTCGGTACAAATTTTCAAAATAAAAAGACATAGCGCGGGAATGTGACATGTTTGCGATCGTAACCTAGGCAATGACGGCAAACACATAAGTATTAGTTCCGTACCCCGGAACTTTTCACTGCTCGAAAACGACGTATAAAAAATCCGTAGAGCCTCCACGGATTTTGGCACGAGAAATCGTACTCCGGAACCTCCCTATTATCGGCTTTGCAAAGTTCGTGGGTGCTGAATACCATGGTATGACCAACTCTCTCACTCTCTCCCCCTGTCTAACTCGCCGTCCCTGTTCCCCTTTCCTTCTCAATATACCTCTCTCTCTTTCTCGCTCTCTCGCTCACATAACTTCAAGAAATCGGGTCCTCCTTCGTATTTTTTATTTTTTTACAAGATAGCCACAAACCATCATGGGGCAAACGCCGTATACGCGTACGCTATAATTATTAACCCTTTGAGGTGCCACTGAACGCGTGAAAATGCGCAATTGCAGTTCACTCCACCATTTCCATCATAACTTACGTTCTGTTTGCTTGATTTTGACAGTCTAGGGCTCTTTGAAACGCTCTTTCCGCTGCCAAGAGAATGACGCCACGCTCAACTCCGTGGGTGCCACAAAGCCTGCTCCAGAGCGCAGGGAATCGCCATAGGTCGGGCCTCGTGTTGAAAGAAATACTTCTAAATTTCATCCCAATGCCATTTCGCTGTCGTTTCTTGCACAGCTCTGGATTTTTTTGCATCTCAATCAGTAGTTTCGACGTCATTACACCCGCACGTCATCAGCTGGCTGCACACCACGTGATCCACGGGAAATCCCCGAAGCACGAGGCAAAAAAATGATTTTATTAATTTTCAAGAACAATTTTGATCAGTAAGACTAGTGCGACTTCATGAATAATAGCAGTCTAGGCTTGTTGGTTTGGCACGAAGGTAGTAAAGTAGTAGTTCCATACATCCGCACATTTGCATGTTGTGTTTTGCGGAACTGTACGCTATGCCTTAGGTAATCACTAGTGTAGGGTTTCATTTTATCACCTACATTTCCCGCTTGTTAGGTTTCTCACGCTCGGTGCACCTCACACTTGCTTTACTTGCGAAACCTTTCAGTTGTTGTAGAATAAGAGTGTGTGTAGCAGTGAGTTTTCCGCTCTCGCTGTAGCATTTTAGATTCGTGGCGAAGAAGTGAAGATTTGTGTTTACTATTACTACAAGACTTGTTGCGTGTTGTGCGTGCGGGTAGAGACCACCGAGGGTTCTCACCATTTGCTGGTAGCAGAGGATGGTTTTGAGTCTAGTAGTGGTAGTGCAGTACTAGTATCAGAGCACAACAATGAGTGTGTCTGATCATGAGAGATCTCGTAGTAGCGGCGACTTGCCGGAGCATCCCGCGCATGCGGCGGGAGCGACGACCACGGTGGAAACCAGCTGCAGCGGATCGACGTCCGAGCCACTGGAGACGAGAGTACACTCCGGGTCGGGTGAAGACGTTGATAGCGCAGACCACCATTCCGCCGAGGAAGAAGATGTGGAGATCGAAGACGACATCCAGGATGTCACAGTTCTGAAAGCCATGAAGATAGGGCAGAAGAGTGAATTTACCAAGCTTCGCAGACGAGCGCTAGTAGTACTGACGAAGGACATGGACAGTAGGGAGCTTGAGGAGGAGACAAGTCGGCTTAGCGAATCGTACGACCGGGCAATGAGCACCATGGGCGACTTGCTCGGATATTACAGTAGTCGTAATGACACTAAGAACCGTTAGAAGACGGTTAGCGAATGGAGGTGTTGGAAGAACAATTCTCTAACGCGATGGCCCAGCTGATTGAAGTCACACGAGACGCGGTGCATCGGGAAGGTGGCGCTGCTGCAGAGCGGGACAGGCGCTATGGAAGTGCGTTTGAGGCGTATGAAGACGAATTATTTGGTTCAGCAACTCTACAGCAAGCGGCGAGCGCTGATCCAGAAGGCGAGCAGCAAGTGTTACAACGAGACACCCACAGCCCGGACGCTTGGCAAGGATCAACAATGAACCGTTTTGGCGGAGCGTTCCCTAGTTCGGCAGTGCGTGCAGACAGGGACTGCAACAATTCTCCTGTACCTGTGGCGGTGGAAACAAGCGTGACTATGACATCTGAAGCGCCCTTGTTCAGCAGTCAGAGTGTGACGACTGCCAATGCCATGCAGAGATCAGGTGTCATTTCAAGTGCTGCTATGACTGGGTCTAGAGCACCACCAGTGCAGGCAGGGCTGTCACATCACGCTGAGCCTTTCCCTTGGCCCTCACAGAGTACAGCGCCACCTGCACCCCACAGTCAACCAGCACCCACTACTGTCATGCAAGGACAAGGGCTATCACAGTTGACTCATCGTGCACCTGCGCTTGCTTCCACAGCCAGCAGGGGATCCAGGAGTGGAATACCAACTCACACTAGTAGTAGTAGACCTGCACAGACGGCACAGACAACCAGAGTGGGCACTGCTGGAGTTAGGCCATCTACTCCCAGGTATCAACCTTCATCATTACCAACGTATCCTGTTTCCAGTAGCAACACGACTTACCGCAATACTGGACAGTTGGCATCCGCTTATCCAACTGGTAATCCTCATCCTCAGTTCCGAGCACAGCACCACCAGTCAACAGGACAGGCCAGTGTGAGTCTGCCACCATTTTACCCAGCGACCGGCAGTGCTGTCAATGCACCTACATCGGCTGGACCGTGGACGCATCTCCAAAAGATCAGCATCCCAGTGTTCGATGGGAAGAAGCACAAATACGAGGCCTGGAACGCCGCGTTTGCTGCATGCGTGGATGCCGCATCGCTAGCACCGGAGACCAAAATGCTCCAACTCCGCCAGTACCTAGGCGGCGAGGCGTTGGAGGCAATCGAGCGTTTCGGCTATTCCGCAGCAGCGTACAGTGGAGCGAAGGCCATGCTCGAGAGAAAGTATGGAGGCGAACGGCGCCGCATTGCTCTTCATGTCGAAGAACTGGATCACACTCAGTCGGTGAGAGCGAATCGCCCAAAAGAGCTGGAGAAGTTTGTCGATCTACTCTCGGTAGCAGTGATCAACCTCAAGGATGCTGGGCGGAGTGCAGAACTACAGCCTGGCACTTTCTACAGCAAGCTCTTGAAGAAGTTCGACCAGTAGCTCCTCATCCAATTCCACCGATGGCGATACGACCGAGCCAAGCCAGACTCCGTAGAGGTCCTTCTTGAATGGTGCAGTCTGGAGGCTGAATTCCAGACCACGGCAGCAGAAACCATTGAAGGCCTCAACGCGAGGAGTCAGGCAAGTGCAAGTAGCACTGTTTCCGCATCACGACGGTCGACACCATTCGCTGGTCCGAAGAAGAGCACATTCGTCAGCACACCAGACAAGAAGCCACGGTCGTGTTCCCTTTGTAAAGGCCCGCATTCCATCACGCAATGCATGCCCTTCAAGGCAGCAACACCGGCGAAGCGATGGAAGGTCGCGAAGGAGACAGGCCTGTGCTTCCGTTGCCTGAACTCTGGCCACTCAGGGCGTGAGTGTTTGAGGGCACAGACATGTGGCATAGACGGTTGCCAGAAAAGCCATCATCGTCTGCTTCACGAAAACCGGCAGATTGGATTGCATAAGCAGCCAACGGAGAAGGCGGGAGACAGCAAAGCAGCAGTGTCGAGCAACGAGGCTACCGGTGTGATCGAGCGAACACAGTTGGCAGTGCTACCTCCCACGGAGGGGAGCTCATCAGCGGCTCAAACCACCAACCTCGGCGTGCGCGGCAAGATAGCGCTCCGAACCGTCTCCGTTGTGGCACGGAGCGGGGACCGCCGGATTGCGCTCAATGCGCTACTGGATGACGGCAGCACTCAGAGCTATGTGAATGCCTCGGTTGCAGCTCAGCTTGGAGCAGAAGGGCAGACGCAGCGGGTGTCTGTCAGCGTGCTGAATGGTGAGATCGAGTTGTTTGAGACAATGCCGGTAGACTTCCAGTTGGAGAGTAGCGACGAAAGTTTATCGCCCCAATGACCGCCATAACCACGACGAATGTGACCGGCAGCTTGAGGCCGATCGATTGGAACGATGCAGCCGCCAGATACACCCATCTGCAAGACATCAAGTTCCCCAAGCCTGCTGACCCGAGGGTGGTCGACATTCTCATTGGTCTCGATCATGCGGAGTTCCATACAGCCCTGGAAGAAGTGCAAGGAGAACAACGTGAACCCATAGCTCGCCGAACAGCTCTCGGAAGGACCTGTGTCGGGATCGTCGACAAGTCGGCCAGGGCCACGCTGTTCTGCCATCACAGTGACGTGTTCGTGGCGGAAACCAGCCATGACAGTCTAGAGGGCTTGGTCCGACAGATGTGGGAGATGGATAGCCCCCGAGAGGCGATGCAGTCCACGGAGGATTGCGAAATCATCTGTAGTGCACGGGCGACCTTGTCTGGAGTCGGCACCGGAAGGTATACCGCGGGACTTTCATGGAAAAGGAAGCCAGCGATGCGTAACAGCAGCTATGACATGGCGCTGAAGCGATTGCGCTCAACAGAACGGAGGCTCAGGAAGGAACCAGACGTTGCTAAGGAGTACCAGCGGGTGTTGCAGCGGCACCTCGAGTGTGGCTATGTCAGCGAGGTCGAAAACATCGACGGGAGACCTGAAGGGTGGATTCTGCCGCACCATCCGATCACCCGGCCCGACGCGACGACAACAAAGGTCAGAGTAGTGTTCGACGCCTCGGCAACAGCAGGAGAACTATGCCTTAATGATTGCCTTCATGCCGGCCCAAAGCTCCAGCGAAGCCTTCAGCAGATTCTGCTGCGATTCCGTCGCAAGGCTGTCGCCCTCGTCGCCGATGTCGCTGAGATGTACTTGCAGATCGAGCTGCGGCCGGAAGATAAACCATACCATCGGTTTCTGTGGCGAGACTTGGACACCGACAAGGAGCCCAGCGTGTACCAGTACAATCGTGTGGTATTTGGAGTGAATGCGTCTCCTTTCCTGGCGCAGTTCGTCTCGCAGGAGCACGCCCGTCAACATGCTGTCGAGTACCCGATGGCGGCCGAGACGATTCTCGAATCCACCTACATGGACGACTCCATGGACTCGGTAGAAGATGAAGATCAAGCGGTGGAGCTGTACCACCAACTGTCCAAGTTGTGGAAACTCGCTGGAATGCACGCGCGTAAGTGGGTCTCCAACAGCAGCAAGCTACTAGCCGTGATTCCTGCCGAGGATCGAGCGAAGCAAGTCGACCTGTCCAGTGGGACCCTGCCGACGACCAAGACCCTAGGCGTCCTGTGGCGAGCAGACGACGATGCCTTCACGTTCAAGTGTAAACCTCCGCCGTCGGCAGCCTGTGTCACGAAGCGGCAGTTCCTGCGCAACATGGCTACGCTATTCGACCCACTTGGATTCGTCACCCCATTCATCATGTCGGCAAGGGTGCTGTTCCAGGACGTGTGGATCGCCGGAACTGACTGGGATGAGCATCTGGCAGAAGACGTCCAGCTAAGGGCTCAGCAATGGTACAGCGGTCTGGCAGCCCTAGAAGCGGTGGAGGTGCCTCAGTGTCTTGTGCTGCAGAAGGCAGAGGCTGTCACCAGCACGGAGCTCCATGTTTTTGGCGATGCATCTCAAGTGGCGTACGGAGCGGTGGCCTACCTGCGGGTTACTTATCAATGTGGAGAAGTGTCCAGCCGTCTGGTATGGTCTAAAGGCAAAGTGGCCCCACTTGGCAGTGTGAGTATTCCGCGACTGGAGTTATCTGCAGGTGCTATGGCGTGTCGACTCGGAATGTCGATTGCTAAGGTTCTCTCTATTCCTCGCGAGAAGGTGGTACTGTGGACGGACAGTATGAATGTGCTGTGCTGGGTTCGCAACCGCAGCCGCTTGTTCAAGCCATACGTCGCTAATCGAGTGAGTGAGATCCAGCAGCAAACCGAGCCGTCCCAGTGGCGCTATGTGCCGACTGCCGTTAATCCAGCCGACCTGATATCGCGAGGAACGTCTGCGGAGTCCTTAGTGTCTAGCGTCCTGTGGTGGGACGGACCAGAGTTTCTGAGCAAATCGTCAGAAGAGTGGCCTAGTCAACCTACGTCCGTCAAGTCGGCAGCTGCTACTATGGAGATTCGGTCAGCAGCCCGTCAGCTCACCGGCGGCGACTCACTCGGTGGCGTCGACTCGTTCTTCATATTCCATAAAAAGACCGCGATTGGAGACTCAATCCGACGCGTTTCTCGTCCTGGCAACGCCTTATCCGCATCACAGCGTTGGTGGTGAGGTTCGTCAACAACTGCCAGATTCGTGCGGAGGAACGCCAGCTGGGTGCAACGACTCCAGAGGAGCTTGAGGCAGCTCGACAATGTGTCATTCGTTCAGCCCAGCGACAGTCATTCACTGAGTACGTACGGTTGGAACGGAGCAAACCTCTTCCGAGTTCAAGTAAGCTGTCGAGTCTGCTGCCAATAATCGACAGCCAAGGTTTGATTTGTGTGCAAGGGCGAGTTCAACATGCGGCGCTTTTATCGCTCGACGCTAGGTACCCAGTCATTCTGCCACGGCACAACTGGGTAACGCAGCTCATCATCCGCCAAGAGCACGAGGACACACATCACGAAGCTGGTACGAGTCACCTGCTGACCAGGTTGATGCAGCGGTACTGGATTCAATCCGGGAGAGAAGCTATTCGCGAGGTTCAACGCAACTGTTCGGAATGTCGCCGACGAAAGGCGAAGCCCGCGACGCAGGTGATGGCACCGTTGCGGAAGATCCGGTTGAAGCCACCCCATCGAGCGTTCGGTCGTGTTGCTGTTGACTACGCCGGTCCTTTACAGACCATACAAGGCAGGGGTCACAGGCGTGCCAAGAGATACCTGTGCCTCTTTACTTGTCTGACGTGTCGCGCGGTACACTTGGAGATGTCATACAGTCTCGACACCAACAGCTTCATCAACGCGTTTGAACGGATGGCCAATCGACGTGGGCTACCCGAGGAAGTTCTATCGGATAATGGAACAAACTTCGTTGGTGGCCAGAGAGAGATTCAAGAGATCTTTACTGGAGATGACCAGGAAAGAATTGGTCAACACTTCGACAAGGTGAAGTGGAATTTCATTCCACCCGGGGCACCTCACTTTGGAGGCGTTCATGAAACGATGATCAAGTCCGCAAAGCGGGCCATCTTTGCCATTCTGTCCTCGGCTGATATCACGGATGAGGAGCTTCAGACGGCATTATGTGGCGCAGAGAACCTGCTGAATTCGCGCCCACTGACTACGCCATCAGCTGACTTGAAAGATGACTTACCGATCACCCCGAACCATTTCCTGGTGGGCCGAGTGGAAGAGTTCGCCGTCGACGGTACCGACCAACCAAGCAGCCCGCAGCAGAGGTGGCGACGTGTACAGGAACTTGTGACGCATATCTGGCGCCGCTGGATGACAGAGTGGTTACCGGCTCTCAACCGACGATCGAAGTGGACCACCGAAGAGCGGAACATGGCAGTTGGTGATGTGGTGTTAGTCATTACACCGCACGCTCCACGCGGCAAGTGCCCACTCGGACGCGTACAGCAAGTGATGCCTGGCACAGATGGGCATGTGCGTGTCGTGAAGGTTCTAGTAGGCGGTAAGCTTGTCACACGCCCTATCGTCAAGCTTTGTCCCATCCTCCAGGGATGAAGATGTTCCCAAGATTAACGGGTCATATCATACGCATCAAATCCTACCTAAGATGACATGTTTTGGCTCTGTTGTGTGAGGAGTTCCGTTATACTCTTGTAGCTGAGTGCTATGAACTTTATACTATTTTAGAAGGTGGTTTATAGGATTGCTCATTCTATCGGCAATAATAGACGGAGATGTACTTCAAGTATATTGATATTTGCTCTTGTGTTTAACGTGAGCATATCAAGGAGGGGAGTATGATCAGTAGCACTAGTGCGACTTCATGAATAATAGCAGTCTAGGCTTGTTGGTTTGGCACGAAGGTAGTAAAGTAGTAGTTCCATACATCCGCACATTTGCATGTTGTGTTTTGCGGAACTGTACGCTATGCCTTAGGTAATCACTAGTGTAGGGTTTCATTTTATCACCTACATTTCCCGCTTGTTAGGTTTCTCACGCTCGGTGCACCTTGCGAAACCTTTCAGTTGTTGTAGAATAAGAGTGTGTGTAGCAGTGAGTTTTCCGCTCTCGCTGTAGCATTTTAGATTCGTGGCGAAGAAGTGAAGATTTGTGTTTACTACTACTACAAGACTTGTTGCGTGTTGTGCGTGCGGGTAGAGACCACCGAGGGTTCTCACCAAATTTAATTTTGTGTGAAAAACTCATCACCGATTAACATGGAAAGAACAATGTAGAACGAATACGACGAATTGACAGAACAGTGAAAATGCATACAGCTAGATTAGCGCGACAATGGTTTGGAGCTTTCATTATAGAGCAAAGCAGGGCAAAGCGACGAAAGGAAAAGGCGAAAGGGAGAAACACTGCACATGGCGACATTGTGTATGTGAGTAAATTAGGAAAGCACTATGCCAGTGCAGGATATCACCAACATGAACATACACTGTATAACAATATGCATAGTAAATCTACACACAGCTACTCTAAATCACGGAATGAAACCCTAAATTAGCAAGCCAGTATCACTGCACACACTTCTCGGGATAAATGTTCACCTAATCATTGGCAGAATTTGGAGGTTGAAAATTTGGAGCATAATTTGGGATCCTTTCGGATGTAGGAGCATAACTACATGGTTGTACCACAATTCCAGTATGTAAGCTACACAATTGTGTACAATGCACCTGATCAGTGCTGGTGGTCCGCATGGTAAAGGGTTCGGAGTAGCCCTTTTCCAAAGATGCTGGCCACTTTTTTCGCAACTTAGGCTGTGTTTACATGAGAAATTTCAACCCGGGTCGAGTTCAGCCCGGGTTGAAAGTCTGTACGATAGACAAAAGAGGTGAGCGTTTACATGAAGACAGTTGACACGGGTCAAATACTGATATGCTGCCAAAAGTCCACTTCTACAGTCCTGTATGGTCACGTGAATCCGTTCGCGCGAAATTTGCAGCTGCAGTGCCGTTCAAACCTGGCGCGAGATACGCACAGAAGTACGTTTGTACGATTTTCTTGACCCGGGTTGATTTCAACCCTCCAATTGGGGAGGGTTGAAATCAACCCGGGGCGAAATTTCAACCCGGGTCAAGCGCAATGCGTTATGACAAACGCGCCATTTATTTTGTGCACATGGCGGGTTGAAATCTGACCCGGGTCGAACTCAACCCGGGTTGAAACGCTTCATGTAAACACAGCCTAACTTTCCGTTGTTTTGCAAGAAAATGCGACTTTCTTCATTTTCACGAACTACTTCCCAACTTTTCCGAAAAGGTATGCAGAGAAACGCGCTGGATCGAGACCATCGACTGTGCAAGCTATGGTTATTGTTCTAATATAAATTAAAAAAATGAGAGGTCTAGTTGATGTTCGGTCATGGTGGAAGCAGAGGTGGACCTACAGGAGAGATGAGCTGATTTGTCGCCGGGTGAGGCCCAGGGTGACATCGGTTGGACGAGTATGACGATTACGAAGACAGTTGAACATGATAATTTTCAAAGGTAACTCAAACTAATTTGGCAATGAAAAAATCGTTTTACAAAAGAAATCAACTACTGTAAATATACAAAATTTCGGCGCTGCAAAATTTCGGTAATGAATAGAAGGAGTCATGTTTTCTCTTTCCATGTTGATCTCTAGCATGCATGGTCATCTTGGTATGGGGATATTCATGTATTTTGTTGTACTAATGGCCACTTGCAAATACGAAAAAGCACAATTTTCCGAACTTTGGGGCTCCATAAGTACAACAAAGTGAGTATGTATCCCTGCGGGCCAAAGCATAATATGAGGATTTCGCGAGCATAATGCGAGAATCCACGAAAGCATAATTCCATGATTTTGCGAGCATAATCCGCCGGAGCCTACTTCCTGGTGCATCTACTTGTACTTGTAGAACATGTACAACTGTATGGAATTTGATGCGAACAGGCGGATTATTCCAATTTTATGCGATTTGTATGCATTTTGCCTCGAATTATGCGATGATTCGATTTTGGTTGGAATTATGCGAAAAATTATGCTAGCATAATCTGTCAAGGCCTACCCCGCAGTATTCTCTACAACCCATGCTATCAGCAAGTGCACATCAGCTCCAGGTACTTGAAGTATAATATAGAAAAGAATTGCAGCGCTGCTAGTCAGCGGGAAAACCTTGTTCACGCTACCCTGTGTTATAATCATGCACTTGCTAGGGAGACAGGCATAGACACGGAATGCCAACAACCCAGCTGTTATTGTCGTCTACAAGTGTCAAGTACAAAGTGCGAAACCTGAGAAGTCGATCGCATTCGCTCGGCTCACTGTGAGCGCACCCACAGCTGCGGTGCTGCTTTCTAAGGGTTTCTGGCGGGGTCGAGCATACTGTCGTCGCTGGGTGTTTCATGCTCCAGAATCCAAGGCCACCCAAACTCCTGTCAGCAAGGACAAGGGCAGGACGACGACTGACGATGCGTCCACAGACACTGAACTCAGTTCCCAATGATAGCGGCGGTAAATCGTTCACCACAAGTCATGAGCCAGGCTATGCTTGCCGTATCCTTTCTCAATATATGTAGTCTACAGAGAAAAGTCGGCGAAGTGCAACAGTACCTTGCTGTGCGTGGAATCCATGTCCTCGGCCTGGCTGAAACTTGGCTGAAGCCATGCATTAGCGACGGCGAGATTTCGATTCCGAATTACAAGCTGTTCCGAAAGGACCGTTATCGTCAACATGGAGGAGGCGTCGCTGTGTACTGTCATGATTCTGTCCATGCCAGAAGGCGCACAGACCTGGAGTGTCCAGAGCTAGAGATGATGTGGATCGAAATTACAAGTAATGGGCGAACCACTGTTCTCGGGTGTACATATCGCCCACCAAACAAACCTGTATCGTACTGGGATGGTTTTGAGAATAATATTGAGCAAGCTTGTCAAGGACGGCAACATTCCACAGTACTCGTTGGTGACTTTAACGTGGATTTCAGCATGCCTGGTAATGCTGCCCACCCTCTTCAGCATATTCTGACGAGATTTGATCTGAAGAATTACGTATCCTCTGCAACACGAGTGACAGCACATTCCCAGACCATTCTCGACCTTTTCCTCTCGACAACAGCTATAAGTGGAACATGTGAAATAATTTACCTCGATATAAGTGATCACTATGCCATACTCGCTCATCTACCGATTCCGTCTAAACCTGCTCGTAAGGGAACATCAACTGTCACGGGTCGTCGTCTCCATCAGATTGACTGGGGCTGCTTTCAAACTGACTTACATGGCATACTGTCTGTCGGCTTCGATGATCAAGATGTTGACTCCATGACAACTTCCTTTAACAATGCTAATCTCTCCACCCTTGACCAACATGCACCCATCACCACCCGCCGCCGTGCAGACCGGCGTCCATGTCCCTGGCTGACTCGCGAGCTGGTTCAGCGTGTCCGGAACCGAAACAGACTGCACCGCCGTCTAATGCAAGATAGAGCAAACGAGGCACTCCAGCAGGAGCACCGAGCTGCACGTGCCAAGGCCAGAAAGCTAGATAGACAGTTGAAGAATGCTTACTTTATGGATCAATGCTATACGTCTGATCAGAGGAAACTTTGGTCCGTGATGAACACTGTCACCGGACGAAAGAAGACCCGCCGAGTACCCCAGGTATCAGCTGACCAGCTGGGCGACTTCTTTGCAGATGTTGTTCATGACCCCAGTCGACCTACGCACCTACAGATGCCAGTTGGCCCTACGAAATCTGATGCCCTTACAGCCTTCCAACCTGTGTCGTTGTATGATGTCGCTAAGCGTTTGCAATGTGTGGATCCACATAAAGCTACCGGAAGTGATGGAATCCCAGGTATTGTGTTGAAACGTTGGTCGGACACCCTCTCCCCATACCTGATGAAGATCGTCAACTTATCTCTTGCGTCTGGTATAGTGCCATCAACTTTCAAACATTCTCTTATCAGACCATTGTATAAGAATGGCGACCCACTGTCAGCTCGTAACTATCGGCCCGTCTCGCTACTGCCTATTGTTTCTCGCATACTGGAACACTTTGTCAAGAAACAGCTGACAACTTTCCTAGATGATCACTCCTTGTTACCTTCAAGTCAATTTGCATACCGAAGAAATCACTCAACAGAAGATGCTCTTATCCTTGCCTCCAACCGCTGGAAATTGGCCAAATCGGAACGAAAACACACCGGGGTAGTAATGGTAGATCTATCGAAGGCATTTGATAGAGTCCAGCATGCCAGGCTTGTGCAAGTGCTGTTTGACCTTGGCATTTGTGACACACCACTGGAATGGTTCCTCAGTTATCTCTCGGAGCGGCAGCAGTGTGTACGGGTGGAACACTCAGTTTCGCAATATGTTGGATGCTCCGGAGGAGTGCCTCAAGGCAGCGTTCTGGGCCCTCTTCTTTTTGTACTGTACACCAGTGATATGTCGTCAGTTCTACCAGGTAGTGTATGCCACCAGGAATTCGCTGATGATGTGGCTCTGGACTACTCCGACTATCAGCCTGATTTAGTGTGCTCTGTTCTCTCTAACGCTGTAACACGACTCGCTGAGTA